TACAAGCGAGCAGCATACTACTCGATGATAATTTCGAAGTCCGGCTTGGAAGCCTGAGTCGAATCTCGGTCGAACGTAGTCCGAAGAACAAATCTGCGTCAGTCACCTGGTATGAATTGTGAACTGCTGATCAAATTGATCTATTTGAAAGAGTTGATTAGATTTAGATCATGAATTTTTACCTTTGTTTTACGCAGGAGTTCTAAAACGTCGAGCTCGGGTAAGTCCAACAGCAGCAGAAAAATGATGCTGTTTGCAAATAACTCTGATGAAAAGACATGAAAAATGAATGCATTCTTTCTACCTCAAATTTTTGATCAGGTACACTAATAAAAGAAACGCGAGAGTATGACGTGTACTGTCTTGGGAAGGTTCTGCTCGAGCTTGTGACGGGTAACCTGGGAATTAGTTCGGCTAACGACTCGAATCTGAAGGAGATATTAGAGGCAACATTATTGAACATCAATCTGTATGACATGGAGCTTGTCACGAGCATTGTTGACCCGAAACTGATTATCGACGAGGATCTCTTGGAGGAAGTGTGGGCCATGGCAGTTATCGCCAAGTCCTGTCTTAATCCCAACCCGAATAGACGGCCCATAATGAGATACGTTAGCTTTGGAAAATCCTTTGAGGGTCGTGAGGGAAGATGATACGGGTAGGACTGGAAACGAGTCTGTCATGAAAAGGCTGCAAGATGCAGGGTTGTTAACGAACCGAATAGTTCGCAAACAGAAGCTCGTTCGTGTTCGATAAGAGCCCGTTCGTTTTGTTAATCGAGCCGAGTTTGAACTGAAAATTAGGCTCGTTTAATAATCGAACAAATACGAGCTCGTTCGCGAACGTTCTATGATGTTCCATGAACATTATTGTAATAATATTTTATTTTATTTTGTTTTCGTAAATTTTTGCATGATATTTTTTAATAAGAAATCTAAAATACAATTTTGTATTTTCGAGTGAATCCAAACATATTTAAAAAGTCTGTGTCCTAAATTATTCGACCACGAACGAACTCGAACTTTGACAAACACTTAAACGAACAAATAACACAATTTTTTGCTCAAAAATAAGTGACCGAGCTCGAATAGTATTTGAACGTAAACAAACACAAGCTCTTAAATACCCAAGCTTGGCTCGTTCAGTTCGATTATAGCACTAACCTCAACAAGAAAATGAGATTAGAAAGAAAGTCTTTCTAATCTACAGCATAGGCATAAATTTGTTTCTATAGTTGCACAAATTCCACATCTACAACATTAAATAAGAAAAAATAATGGGTTTCATGTAGTTATCAATAATAATAATAATAATAATAATAATAATAATAATAATAATAATAATAATAATAATAATAATAATAACAATGTAGTTCTTTTTGTACCTTTAACCTGTCCCAAAAGAGTGCTCAGCCACATGAACTAAAATTTACAATTCACCAAAAGGGCAACTAGAAAGATTTAATAAATTACAGAAAAGAATTGTTGGCTTGTTAACTCCAAAAACAAGCCCCTCAAAACCAAATTAAGAAGTAAGAACAAAACAAGACTTTCCCCTTTATCTTCTCCCTCTTCCCTTCAAACCTGTAAGTAAACAGATCCAAAGGAACTTCATTTTTTCTCCCATCCAAAAACCCAACAATTTTCCTCAAAAAACAGCACCCCACGAAGCAGACGAAGAATTTACAGTACGTAAAAATCCAGACGAAANNNAAAAAAAAAAAAAAAAAAGTTCAAACCACTCCTTCCTCCAAAGGCTCCGGAAATATCTCCCTCGAACTCTTCCTAGCCGACGATGTACAACTCTTCCCACTACTCGACCCCTCCACCTTATTATTATTCCCCGACTTGGCCCCCACCGTACCCGGCTGTGCCGCCGCCACATCGGATGAGCTCCGCCGCCAGCTGCCGAACAAACCCGCGTTCCACGACCCCCTCGACGAGCCCGTCCTCAGACGATCGGAGCTCGTCGATTGCTGCTCGTCCCTCACGACCTTCAACGGGTTCTCCAATGCCTTGAGAACGTAGCGCATGATGGGCCGCCTGTTGGGCTTTGGATTGAGGCACGATCGGGCCACGATGGCCATGGCCCAAACCTCCTCCAAAAGGTCCTCGTCGATCATCAAGGTCAGGTCCACGATGTTGGTCACAGAGTCTTTATCGTATATGCTGACGTGGCGAAGGGTGGAGTCGAGCCATTCCTTAGTGGCGGTGGGGTCCGCTGCCGGGGAGCTTATGCCGAGATTTCCAGTGACGAGCTCGAGGAGGATTTTTCCGAAGCAGTGGACATCATATGCGCAAGTTGCGTTCGGGTTGATGCCTGGAAGTTTGAAAAAAAAAAGTTTGGTGTGTTATTTGGAAACAAAAAGAGTGGATATCGACATGGTTCAGGATAAAATCTCGAGAGTATATTGGTGAAATCCGTTTGTGTCGATTATTGTTTCTCATTCAATTATAGAAGTTACTACGAAAAGAAAAAAAAAAAGCGGCAAAAATGCATTTATAGCTCTGTTGGTTTAACGCCATAGCAATTTTAGCCCTAAGGTTCTAACTTTCCCTTTTTTGGTCATGTGATTTAATCTTTTGCTGCAATTTTAGTCCTCAAAGAAGTGCAAATGAAATTGCAATAAAAATTTCATAAAAATTTTAATTACAGGACTGAAGCAACAAAGTTTAAAACTAGAGGACTAAAATTGCTAATCGAAAATATGTGGATTTGGGAATTTGTTGCAATTTCAGTACGAGTGAAGTTGCAGCAAATATTAAATCACATGACCAAAGGCAAAATGCTGGAACATTGTGACTAAAATTGCTATGACATTAAACCGGGACTAAAAATGCAATTTTGCCAAAAAAAAAAAGTTATAAGCATCACAATTGTTACACTTGGTGTGACCCTTTATAGTGTTTGCTCCTTAGCTGTGGCAAAAAACATAAATTTCAAGGGCATGAAAAGAGTGAAATGGTAACAGATACAAAATATAATCAAAATGTTCAAGAACGGCGTAAGCATATATATTAAGAAATCCCGAATGATTAAAGATGTTAAACGAATAAAGTGAACATTTTGGCCTGAGTAGAGAGAATCTAGGAAGTGGTGTTGCATACATTATAACATGGAGCAACATAATTACAAAGTATCCGTCGAAGTTTTTCAAGTTTATGCCTAAAGAGCACTTATCAAAAGATATGCATTTATGCGCCATAAATACTATACTGTAGTTCAATTACAACTGCGAAATGAGCTGTTAAGGAGGTGTTAATATTGATATAAAAATGATATTATCATGCAGAAGACTACAATGATATCGTACCTGAATTGCCTTGGTCCGATGACCTGTAGATACGAAAGAAATAAATAAATAAGATTACTATAGTAACGTTAGTTCGACAGTAATAAAAGAGAGGGATTTTATGTAAGCAATCGCGAGATTTTATGATATAAGGCTATAACCATAACATAAAGGCATTGTAAAAAAAAATAAAATTTATAGTGAATTATCACAAGGAGAATGCATTTAAATATTAATGTGGAAGTAACGACTCACTGTGGCAACCGAAGAAATTTTGTAATTCGACTTTGATGAATTTCACCTTCCTGAGCACAAACCTCACTCAAACTTCCTAACCGAACTTCGAATTTATCATCGAGAAGTATGCTGCTGGCTTGAACATCCCTGCAGAAATTATATATAATATGGATAAAATTAGATTTTGACATCATCTAGTGGGAGATCGAAAGGCCAAATAAATTAGAAACCAGCATAACTTTATTATAATGTAGTGTTGTGTTGACCTAGTTTTTATAATTTATTCTTTCAATAAAATTTCAGTGCCAAAGTTGTAAAACAAATTCAAACGAGAGTGTTGATATTGATAATATTCGTTCGACAGAATTTGAATATATTGTCACTGGCTCGCCTGCAATGGTTCGTTTATGTTAAGTTTTTTCGTTTACGTTCCCTTTTTTCTTTTTATTTTCAACGGCTACATAAACGAGTGTGAGCAATTCAAAATGGCCAGGCACCTCTCTAATTACCATAACATGAAAGGAAAACATATAATGTGCATTCATTACAAAATTTAGAGAGGTAGCCATGCAAATGCAAGGTATAACATCTAAAAACACATGTCGTACTCTTTTTTTTTTTCGTGTAAAAATCAGCCGAAAAAATCACAGAGCATATCAAACCACAGGTGACCATTCAAGAAAACATCACATGTAGCATTCAACTTCCCCACACAATAGGCAAATAAGAGGAAAATGAAACTAAGTCACTAGATGAACTAAAAGTGTGGGCTCATCAAAATAGTACCTGTGAACGAGCGGCGGATTACACTCGTGATGCAAATACGAAAGCCCCTCAGCAGCCCCGATCGCAATCTTCAGCCTAGTGATCCAATCCAACGACTGCAGATTCCCGTCCGGGCCCACCTTCCTAAACAGAGAGCTCGACAAGTCCCCGTTCGGCATGAGCCTGTACACCAAAAACTTCTCTTCTTCCTTCTCCAAACAATGCCCCAATAAAGGCACAAATCTAGAATGCGAGACCTTACTGAAAAAATCCAACTCCTTAACAGCCGAGGAGCTCGAGTCGAACTTCTTCACCACCACTGAGACCCCACCCTCGAGCACCCCATGATACAAATCCCCCGAGCGACCTTTTTTCAATAAATTCGACTCGTTTAATTCTCCCGTTGCTTCTAGAATCTTCTCGTACGAGAATGAATCCAGCGAGGCGGCATCGGCCCCTTGGAGTGGTAGTGGTGGTGGTGTGGGCCCCACCACACTGACGTGGGAGCCACCGCCCCTCTGGCTCGTGTGGGCCCGCTTTCTCTTGCACACGATAATAATGAGTAATGCGATCCCGATTATAATAAGCCCAATGCTTCCGAATAAGGAAGCTAATAATATAATGACCGATCTTCTTCGGCTTCTTCTGCTCGGACGAGAAGAAGGTGGAGAATGAGATCCGAAATTGTCGAAAACCAAATTCCGATCTGAATAGAATGAGGTGCACTCGATTAGTGTCCTTTGGGCCGTGGTGGAGTTTGTTAGGCAATTTCGATCGAGTGACGTGGCGGCCCCACGTGCGTAGATTGGGACAAGACCTTGAAAGTAATTTCCCGACATGTCTATGAAGCTAAAACTTGTAATCAATGGGGTTATATTACCGTAAAATGAATTGCTCGATATGTTTACTACTACTGAGGAACTACTTGCATTATTACTAAGTCGCGGGCTGGCAATGGGAAGTGTGCCGGTGAAGTTATTAACAGACACGTCGAGATATTGCAATTCCGGCAATGACCAAAGCTCGTCTGAAAGAGTGAAAGTTTACCAACAAACTATTACAGCTCAAAATATGGGAGAATATATAAAGAGCGAAATGCAATCAAGAAAAAGGACGGAAAATAACACACCGGGCAGCTGGCCGGAGAGCATATTCTGCGAGAGATCGAGCACATTGAGACTGGTTAACCGAGCTAAGCTCGACGGAATTACACCGGTGAGGTTGTTGTGAGACAGATACAGTTCCACTAAGCTGCTTAAATTCCCGATGGTGGCCGGGAGAGAGCCGTTAACGGAGCAAGACCTTAGATCGAGCACCTGGAGTGCGTCAAGCTGCAGGCCGAGCCACTCGGGGATCGGCCCTGGAAGCGCGAAATTCGAGGCGTTGAATGAGGACAAAAGGGTCAGATTACGGAGGGCGTCGACTGAGAATCGAGGGTTCCGGCCGCCCCTTCTCGTCCGCCTGAACCCGGAGATGTTGATTCCTGTGACCCTGCCGCCGGCGCACCGGATTCCCACCCACGACGCGCAGGGGTCGGATCTAATGGGCCATTCCCTGGCCCGTAACCCTAACGAGGATCTCAATTGTAGCAAAGAAAGCCGCTCTTGACCGGAAATCGAAATTCGCTGCTCTAGTGAGCAGCCCAACAGGAGGAAGAACAAAGCTGATGAAATGAAAACGGCCCTGCTCCTTCGATCCGCCATTTCTTCTGCTCAAGCTTCATCGAGCTTCAGGGGAACCAAACGGGCCCTCGATTTCATGTACAGTTTGGGATTTAGGGACTGTTTGTGTCAGCATTCGCGGCTGAATATGCTTTCCGGATAAAAGAGGAAAAAAGCTATAATGATGGAAGCTTTTTATTTTCTCTATCACAAATATCTCCCTGACTTTCTCTCTCCTAAATTTTCCGGTCGACGGCGAAGAGAGAGAAAGGGGCTTCCCAAAAAAAGTCAAGAAAAATGGGATTTAGCAGAATAGTTGCTCACTGAATACAAAATCCTCTCTCTCTCTCTCTCTCGCTCTCTCTCTCTCTCTATATGTAATAAAATTGTAATAAGCTCATGATTCATGAACAGTGTCAAGTTTTCTGGATTATCCTAATTAAATTTTCCATTTTTTACCAAAAAAAAAAAACTTTTTTACTGATTCAAAGAGTATATTTTTTCGCCGGAGGATGACGTCAGGATGCGCCGCCGTGCTTTCACTTTTCACGGGAAGTATTTATTATTTAATGGGATTCCGGTGAATGTTCACCGCTGACAGCCGGTGATCCTGCCGGGACCAGCTCATATTAAGTATTTTGTCCTTCTTCGATACATTGTACCTTCCGCCGCACATTTTGTGCATTTGACAATAATTAAGCGGATAATATCTTGATGTTTATATATCCACTAGTACAACGCCCTTCTTAACATTTAAAAGTGCTTGCTAATTTTCTTCTTAACATCTAAAATTAATGAGAAAATATAGTTGAAAATTTAAATACTTTTTTATAAAAATATATATTATTATATATCTAGTATGACACTTTTATTTGTGCGACATACTCGTGTTATATTATAATAATTTTTTAACTTACAACATATAACTACATGAAACATAAATATATCAATTGAGAAATAATTTTATTTTTCTAATAAAGTTTAAAAATATTATTATTTTTTATTATTATAAAGATAAAATATTTTATTTATTTCATATATACAATATGGATGACAAATCGAAGATCATCAAAAGATTATTAATTTGATATATTATATATGTAAAACCGATAACAAATAAAAAAGTTATCAACTTTTAAAATATATTTACAATTCAATAGTTAATTGAAGGAAACAAATCAAAAGTCAGGTATATATTAGTCACTTAGTACCTCACTATGTAAATTACAAAGAATTAAAGGTTTATATTAGTACAAGTGATATTAAAATACCTAAATTAGCTAAATAATATTTATGGAATGTCTGAACCTAGATTATTAATTATTAATATGTAAATATTATTGTCCAAACCTAATTACGAAATTTTTCGCCAAATAGGATTTCGAAGCACCAAAAGCAGCCACGCAGGCTCAGCGCATTCGAAAATTATATATAGGGAGGATTGATATGTGTAGCAAAACAATTAGCTACACGGACTAAAATTTGATTAAAAAACCTTTTTTACTATAAAAATAATAATTTTGATGATGAAATATTGTATTTTAATTTACTTCGTTTATTGAAAGTGTGACCTATCTAATTAATGAATTAAGGACATATAATTGCATAGATTAAAAAAAAAAAACAAAAACAAGAGAGTGAAAATTACAAATTTGTAAAAAAGTATTCATGCCCGTCCAAGGTAGCATTAATTATAGAGAAATGCTACGGTTCCGTTACGGAATCATTCTGACAGATTTGTAACCGATAGATCACTATTTCCAACGGTTACATTATGATCTAACGGCAACAAACATGACGAAATGGTTCCGTAACGGGACTGTAGCATTTCCCTTAATTATATATATAGAGCCCATAATGCAAATACCTAGCTCTTCTAATTGTTAGGTAAAGGGTGGCCACGGGCCGGTTTGGCCCGCGACCTAATGTGAACGGGTCACGGATCGGGAATCTCTAACTACGGGTAGTCTTTGGCCCGACCCAATTGAATCGTCGACCAATAAGAGTCGGACTGGACAGGCTCGTTTGGCATTGTCAAGCATGATATTATGGTCACTGTGTTGACTTTGGGAGAAAGTTAAGCATGAGAAATCGAGATAGTTGGTAACTCAAGTAGGAGTGTTCAAAGTTTTGACATAAGTCAATTCTTTGGAATGATACGACTCAAGTTAGGGTTTTCAAATAACCTAACCATAATCAAGCTGAGGTGATAGGTTCAAATGATCGACGAGAGGGGATCATAAAGTTTTGGTTATGGAATACTCATTGAGGAGGATATAACAAGTAACGCGAATTTGTGCGTATTTTGGGAAGATATCACCCAAAACTGGTGGCCCGAATCTCGTGGACTTCATTTGAATTCTACACGTGACTGACACTAAATGACATCGAATAATATGTTGTAGTTTTAGTGCAACTTTTTATGTTCCGAGGACAAATAGGCATTCTTCGGATTTCTTTCGCGAGTTCAAGTAGTGTAAATTTCTAAAACTTTGAGATAGATTCTTTCTTTATTATCTTACCTTATAACTAGATACTATTTGAAATTTATGCATATTTAAAGAAATAGAACATGTAACACAGCTTGAGACTTTATGAACACTGATAATTTTATTCACGATGGCGGTCTCAAGTTATAAACAATTCCCATGAATAAACTTATTTGGTGTTTTTATTATCTTTTAATTGTGTGACAAATAGATTTCTAATTTAAAATCAACATGAAACGATAAGAAGAATGTATTTAATTTATATATAATTCAAAATGGATAGTTTTATTTATTTATTAGCAGAGTTAGAAAATTATTTATCAGGGCAATTAAAACTTGCACGAAATTATCATCTCTTGCATTTACTGGCTGTAATTTAACAGCTGTTACAATAGAGAAATTGGGTGGTATTTTATGAAAGACATGGTAATGTTAGTGCACTCATGAATATTCAGTAGATTGTAGTCACTCATGCATATATATATAAAAATATATACATGTTAAAACTATTGGAGATTCTGCAGTTCCGTTATGGAATCATTCCGCTACAGAATGGTTCCGTAACAACACTGTAGTATTTCCCTAAAATAAAATTCCCTATTTAAATTGAGAGAGAGTTTCAAGGGATTTGATGGTATATATTAAATGCAATTTCTTTCTTATTGATTGATCACACCAATTTAATATTTAGGGATATGTCTTAGCTCTTCATAATTTGCATAAACAATGGAGATACATTCAAGGAAAAATATTTGAAGAATTATTAAATTTTTGGGCAAGTAATACATGCGTGCATACTTCTCATTTATAGTGGTTGGTAGCTGTAAAGCAACTCCAAATGGACACTCAATTTTTTTTTTTCAATTATATTTATTTTCATTTATACCGAAAACCAAGCCGAATCGAGCAATTCGATATGGTTCAGTTCGTTTTTTTAATATAAAAAATGGCTATGTTTGGTTCTTTCTTTTTTTCAACATTGTGGTGCGGTGTGGTTATAGTTTTTTTTTTTTTAAGTTCGATTTTCGGTTTTGTTCGATTTGGTACGTTTTTGCCCTGAACCGCACCAAATTGCATAAAATGTACATAAAAATTGAGATAAAATCAAAAATCCAAATCGAACCGTGCATTTCGGTGCAGTGTGATTCGGTTATTTTAGTATATAAAAATTTCGATTTGGTTTCGGTACAATTTTTTTTTTAATTGTAGTGCAGTTCGATTATTTTTTTTGTCAAGTTCGTTTTTCGGTTTTTTGCGGTTCGATGCAGTTTTTCACCGAACTGCATCGTTGCTCACCCCTATATATAATGTCTAAGAACTATTATGATTTAGTGTGAACATTATTATAGGCCAATTTTTTAACTAATGCTCGTTGATTTAGACCATCTCCAACCGAAAAATCCCCATTTTGCAGTCACTGACACATCAAATACTAATTTATCTCTAACCGGAAAAACTCATTCTTAAACTCAAAAAAAATATTCTATGTCACATCAAATTTACAACTTTTTAATACTACTTACGTATTTAAAAATCTTACAAATTAGACCCCTAATTGTTTTTATATTTGATTTAAAAATCAATTAATTTATAAATTAATAATACTTTATTGTTTATTTTAAATTTAAATTATATTTTAAAAAAAGTATATTATTTGAATTTATTATCATTATTTTTTTAATCTCTCCTAGAAATATTTTACAAATACTTTTATAATTTTGTAATTCAAATGAATATACTAGAAATATTTTACAAATACTTTCATAATTTAATGATAAAACCTAGTATAGATGTTCACACTATATAAATGTCTAATTTTATTTGTGTATATTTCATATTTTTAATATTATTTTAGGTGTGCCAAGTAATATGAAAACACGTCTAAATATAAATTAGAGAGACAAATATATCTTGTAAGCAAATTTTTATTGCATATTTATATAAAAAATAACAATTTTACGTACCCAACAAATAATATATATTTTGTTCTATTTTTGGGGCCAAAAATAAAGTCACAAAAAAATTTGCTTATAACGATGGAAGTAGAGAGAAACACATAAAACTAGAGAGAAAGGGCAAAAGTTGTGGTTGCGGTTGCAGGCTTGCAGCTAGGATTGCAAACGAATTGAATCAAAACGAATACTCAGAGATTCGATTCGGATTCGTTAAAATATTCAAAGATTCGAATTCGTATTCGATTCGTTTATAATATTTGAACATATTCGATTCGATTCGAAATTCGTTTTTTAAAAAAAAATATTATAATTACAAAAAATAATTTTTAATTTTCATATATTTAGAAAAATTTGTTAATTAGGATGTTTTTACTTTTTATATCATAAAATATAAGAAATATAACAATATATATATACATATATATTATAAACAAAATGTATACTATATGTAATTTATAAAAGTTATATAATCATTGTTAACAAATCGAATATTCGAACTTCGAAACGAATACCTACAAATTCGAATTCAGATTCGTTTATCTTTTGAAAACAAAACATTATTCGTGTTCGAATTCGAATCACGAATATCGAATCGAAT